TCGCATTCGGATAATTATCATCACGAGACGTCACTCAGCTCTTTTTTTTATTAGCTTGAGATTGTAACGGAGCCCCTAGGATGGTCAGCTGATGAGCCGAATGTGAAAGCAAGGCAGCAAGTGTGCATCATCTATAGTGCTTGCCGTGTCTTGTTTCCTAAGCCTTATCTTCAAGGTTGCTTCCCGACCCATGTGGGAGGCATAAAAGGAACAAGACATTACAAAGTCCTAACATTTCTTTTTGTTTGTCCAAACATATGCAAGTCCCTAGTTTAATGGCTAGCCAACTCGAGCAAGCCAATCACATTGACCCTCCATTGGAGGAAAAAAGATAAAAATAAAAGAGGAACAAGCCAATTCAATTGCAATAACGACGCGTAAGAGTAATGATTGAAAAGTTTAGGCAATCTAGACAATTGTGCCAATATAATAATATGGGAAGGATCGTGTTTGTCAATTGAACCGCCGGTGTAGACATTAATCAATTGGAGCAGCATTATGTACTTATTGTCAGCAGATGGAGGTGCCAATGTGGGACAATTCCTCGTATTTTTTTTTTGGTTATATTCTGTGTCACATATCTTTTTCTTCGAAATCATAGACATGAGTAGGACCAACTTTTCTTGTTTCCCTCGAGAAACGGATTGATGGTACGTTAAAAGTTGAGTCGTGTCTCTATTTGCTGGTTTAAGATTTTAGATGGATTTTCAGTGGTTTTACGAGTAGAAGTATAATCGTTGGAAAATTCGTATATCCCAAATCAAATCTTCCATTCATAAATGGTATTGCATTTTTTTACGACTGCCTTTGGTGCGGCTTTCACAAGGAAATTTGGACTTGTAAAGTCTCTTGATTAAAAGTTAGGGCATTTGGTAAAATTTTTTTAGACCACTTTGAGTGAAACCCGGTATTTTAAGCCCAGAGCCCAAGGCAGGGAAGTTGGCATTTTTGCGTTTTCGAAAAGTCATTTACAGCGGTTTAGCGCGCGCATGAAATCATTTCTGTTTCTCTATTTTTTTATTTTTCTGTTCCTAGGAACATGTTTGGAATAGAAATTCGTTTGGTAACACAATTTCATTTTTCTATTTCTAGAACAAATTTCTATTCTAGAAATACGTTTGAAACATAAATCAGAAGTAAAAAAAATTTACTTTTCTATTTCTGGAACATAAATGAGAAATAAAAACTCTTCTTTTCGCTCGCTCTCGCTACTAGTCGGTCACCCCCTTACCACTCGCTATTGCCGCCAGACACCTCTTGCCACCACCGGTCGCCCCCCGTCGTCGGCCGCCTACCACCGGAGTCCATCGCCGACCGCCTCCTCCCACCGCCATCCTCCGTCGTTCGCCACCGCCCAATGTCGGCTGCAACTCGCCCACCGTCGCCTCCCGCTGTCCTTCGCCACCACCCACCGGCCGGCTCTCGCAGCCGCCCATCGGCTCCCACTCGCCGATCACCTCCCACCCGCTGGCTGCCTCTTGCCGCCGACCACCGTCCTTCGCCGCTCGACTCCGGCCAACACCCACCATCGACCGCCGTCCTCCGCCACCGGCCACCATGCTCCACCACCCAGCGTCGGCCACCCTCCGCCGCCGGCCGCCCCTCAGGGTGCCAGTGGCCACCCACCATCGACCGCTAGCCATCGTGCTCCACCGCCCGACGCCGGCCACCCTCCACCCCCGGCAGCCGTCGCCGCTATTCACCGCCGGCCGCTGTGCTCTACCGCCTGGCATCGATTGCCTCCCGCCGCCAGCTGCCTCCCGTCGCCGTCATCCGCCGCCGCCGATCGGTCGCCTCCCACCGCCAACCATTGTCCTCCACCCCCCACCGGTCGCCCAGAATGGAGAAATTTTGTATTATTATCAAACGAATTTTTATTTCGGAAATAGAAATTTTGTGTCATTATCAAATACGCATTTTTGCTCAGAAACTCGTCCACGGAATAGAAATAGAAAAATCTATTTCTGACTAGAAATTGATTTCTGGAACAGAAATGTTACCATACACACCTTTAATGACTTTTGTTCTCCTCATCTTGCCCTCACTAGTTTTCTCGGGTTCCATTTTTACCCTTCATGAGGATAGATCGTGGTTGGTTGCAAAGGAGCTAGAGAGGCGCCGGTGTTGGGTTGCACGACATCGACGCCACCTTGTCGGCCTTCGCCTAGGGTTGTGCCAGCGCTTGAAGTGTTAGATTTGAAGACAGATCGTGAAACCGGCATATGTAGGCCTGGGGTAGCACAACACCGACACTGTCTTGCTTCGAGTCACATGCTCTTGGCAGCCCTTGCCTAAGGTTGTGCCGATTATCGAAGGGTCAGATGGGCAATCCGATTGTCGAAGGGCCGAATTTGGGAAGCTCAAGGTTGGACGACCTTGGTGGCAATCGCCCAGGATTCGTGCGACCTCGACGGCCCTAGCCTAGGTTCGTGTCGACTGTCAAAGGGCCAAATCTGAGAAGCTCGAGGTCGCATGATCTCAATGTTGCCTTACCTGGGGTTGCGCGAGCTGTCGGGGTTACGACCTTGGAGACAGGTCCTTGCCGGAGCTTCGTCGAAGGGCTAGACCTTAGCTCCTCTTACTTCTTCATTGGCCCTCTCTTTTTTTTTCTTTTCTTTTTACTTCAAAGTTACTTTACTAAAACTCAATATTCCAAATGCCTATTTTGCTTTCAGCAACTACGCTTTGAGTCAAAGATCTTTGCTAAAATGACTCTGCATTTTCCCAAAGGTTTGCCAAATGTACCCTACATGTGTCTTGGCCAAATCCTAGCTAGAGTTGCTAGACTATACATGCATGTATGTTCACAAGCATTAGAGCACTTAATAACTATCAGCATCCATATGGAAATTTGAGATTATTAATGGATCAAGTTCCACACGAACCATCACTTCCGCCGATTCTACTGCTAAATCATAAATTGTTATAGAATTTTTTTTGTATATTGTTAGGAGGAATTAAGTATAATATATAGAGAAAATAAAATTTAATATTGAAAGATAGGAGAAATGGGCAACCTCTTCCCGAATGGGCAATACGACTGAATGACGACCCGGCTACTAATTCAATTTTTAGGCCGACAGTGACCTGCTCAATTGGTTTATCCAGGTCAATCGATGCAACATGATATTGGGTAACAAACATTTCCTTCTATAAGATTTGGGAAACCATTGCTTCTTTCTCTTCTCACTATCTCGTTGATTATATCCATAGTTCTTGTTATTGTTGATACAGTCATAGCAAAGATGAAAAACTTACAAGCCATGGACCAGTCTTTCATTTGGCAAATGGAAAAAGGCCATGGTCTAAATCAGATTCACATATAAAACTAAGAAAAGCCCACCAAACCCAATTACTCAACTTGGGCTTATAAGTTATCATTTGAGTCCGGAGGCCCAATCCAACTTTTCGTAAGCTAAGCCCACCTTGTACTTGCATTGAATCAACGTCAATGGTTTTGTTTTTTTTTTGCTTCCAATCTTTTGTAAATTTTGACATTTTAAGTTTTGTTACATGTTGAACAACATGACCATCTATAAATTCATGCATATGAAACTTTTTTAGGTCATTTGAAATTGTCGCGAATTTCCTCATAATTTTTAAAAATCGCTAACATCGTCGCTCTTTTAATTTGTCTCGCAATTGATTTGCTCGGATTGAACAAGATTTTTCCCTACAAACTTTTTTAAATCCGTGTGTTTTCCACTCTATATGGCTAGCCGAAAAAGTACCCAAAAGATAATTTACGCGAGTTAGAATTATTATATATGTAGGTCAAAATCCTCAATTATCTTTTTTTTTTGGTTGCTTTTTTCCGGGATTACTTCCCAGCACGTCAAAGAATGTATATCCCAACACGTCAAACAATTTATGCTTGCTATTTCGATTGTTCTATGTTAGCAAAGATGATAACTTCAATTCCCTAAAAAAAATCAAGGCACGCGTGCGTGGGCTAGTTATTAAATAAAGTAACAAGAACCCACCACTACTTTTGTAGACATCGATTTTTTCTTTCTTTCTCAAATATAGTCAATTACACTTTTCTCTAACAGATAATATATTCATGAACAAATGCATAAATTAATAATTGTACATTATCTCTCACGCATTCCCGTCTTTTTTTTACGTATTTCCATTTTAAAATTTACACTTTCGACCTCGATTTCGGATCATAAAATGACTTTCTTTTTCTTTCCATATATACGTGTGTGCAATTTTGTACTATTCATGAACTGTGCAGTTTAATTAATATCTACCTAATATTTATCAATAGGGTGGTTTCATTTAATTTGCTATATGTCAGCCTTCTTCGTAAATGCAACGGGCGTGCACCTTTACTGGTTATTAGTAAAAACCTCCTTCATTTAGATTGCGATGATGATGTAATAAATGTTCATGTTAGACGAGTTCAAAAGGTGTATGTTTTCTCGCTTATTGGAATGAAGCCGCAAACGATGAGATTTCATGGTCGATACCATAACCCTTTCGTAACAGTAGTGCAAGTGAGCTCTCTTCGCATTTGAAATTAGATCGACTTGACCTGATCGGTAATAAAAATCGAAACAGAATTGAGCAATAAACCAAGATCTGGCCTGCAACCTCGATTCGGTTCAGCTCGAAAATTAATCCGAACATCCAATAATCATTTAAGGGTGATCGTTGGGTTCACCATTACTGCGCACGAAATTCACATGTGCATAAATTTTTCTTTTTTACATGCCCACCATCGAAAAGCGGACCTAATAAAATTCCTTAATCATATAGCCTCAACGTGAACGAAGATCATTGCGCAAATTGGACCGAACGATGATGCCCTCGGCAATCATCGTATAGAGATTAGTCTTATCTTGCTGACACGGCGTGCCGTGATTGGACCCCACCCCTTGTCTCCCTTCGACGAAACCTCGGCGTAGGACAATCGAACCTCCCTCGTGACTCGATCATTATTGCGAAACGAACAGAGCTATATTGAATTGATCACCTCCTTTTCGATCTTTGTTCCTTGATGGGTAGCATTTGATCGGTTCGAGTCAATCCGATCGTCTCTCCATCTTCTTCTTCTTCTTCTTCTTCCTTCTTCTCAAAGCAATCGCCCGTCTCTCTCTCTCTCTCTCTCTCTTCTCCGTGGGTTTTCTTGTTCTTAAATTCATTCTCCGGGTAAGTCCGCGTTGACCTCTCTCTGTCTCTCTCTCGATCCCCCCCTTCTTCTGTTCTTGATTTCTTGATCTTCCGACAAGATATCGGGCGAGTTCGGCGGTGATGTTGTTGTTTGTTTGCTCTTGGCTTGAAATTTTCATTTGGGCAATCATGGGTATTGCTGGATGTGTTAGGGGTTCTTAGTTGGCTTAGCTGGGTTTGTGTTTTAGCTTCTTTTCGTTTGTGGCTGTCATGGAATGGTTCATCCTCCGGTGTTATTGCGTCAAATTGTGTTCTTTTGATCTTTGGTAATCGTGGGTATTGCTGGATATGTTAGGGTTCTTAGTTGGCTTAGCTGGGTTTGTGTTTTAGCTTCTTTTCGTTTGTGGCCGTCATGGGATGGTTTATCCTCCGGTGTTACTGCGTCAAATTGTGTTCTTTGGTTTCATGTTGGCGGGGGTGTCACAATTCAAGGGTGAAATTGCGGCTAAAGTATGTGTTTTTCTTGTGCAGTTGGATTGCGTAAGGATGAACAAGAGCGTGTTTAAGCAGGAGCATGACTTTGGTATGTAATTGGCTATGCGCTGCTGTTTGGCACGTTGTCCGTATTATCTAAATGAAAGTAGAATTGAAATTTTGATGAACCCGGTTTTGACGACTGCAGAGAAGAGACGTGCCGAGGCGGCGAGAATAAGGGAGAAATACCCGGACAGGATTCCGGTGAGAGTTTTGAGTTGTTTGTGAATTTGCCCTGGTTCATACAGCAATCTTATAATTGTCAGTGATTTAGATCATTTTTATTGGCTTAATTGGTAGATTCACATCTTACATGAACTTGCATGGATTGTCGTCTTATTCATGCTTGCAACCAATATCAATAGAGTTATGTTGCTAGAATTTCCTCTGCCCACCCTTGGGCCATGCCAGAGTTGAAATTGAAACTGGTAGTTCTGGCATAAAAGTTACGAGTCACCTACAGGAATCACTGATTCGACAATGTATGAATTGTGATATCAATATCTGATTGACATGTAAACCAAGGGTTGAAGATTAATTGGAGTGTTTTTCTCAGTGTATAGATCAATGTCATAGAAATGTTACGTGGTGCGCGTATCCTTCTCAGGATATCCTTAAGTACTTAACCTCAGATTCGTCTATATCCTAGGGAACTTTCAAGTAATTTGGAGTGTCTCATAGCTTTACCTATCCATGTCCAATTGCTGATCATAGTTATGTCCTCCTTCTCCTTTTCTTCATTTGCTTTTTATTTTAGTAAAACATAATTTTTTAGAGGAGATGCGCAGAGGTCATTTGGTCAGTATGCATAATAAGCTGGCTAAGTAATACCTGGAGCAGAAGAAGAAAACAGAGACTGTTGAAAGATGAAATAGACATCCGAGTCGTTTGATTCCACAGGACTGCTATCCAGACAAGGAACTGAAAAGCACAGTCCCCACATAAATGTTTCGTTTGCTCCTTGATCCGTGAACCTGACTTAGCAAGAGCTCTCTGTTCCTAGGATCTATCTGCAGGACCTTCTATGGCCATTGCAATTAAGCAACAATAGTGGAAAGTATTTAAGAGTTTGCCATGTTGGTGAGCAAAAGAATTTGGAGAAGATGCTAGTGATTATAAAAGTTCAAAGTAGATGATGAGGTATTCTCCTGATTGCTAGCGGGCTGCAGGTGAAGAAGCATCAGTCACTGTGATGACCCTTCAAATGCCTTTCGCCTGAATTCCGTTCTAAGGAATCTGTTAAATAGCACTTTTCAACTTGACATGGTTTGGACATAGATTGGCTTAAGATATCGATTGAAAGATTGTCTCATGAGAAGTTCTCTTGCAAATATTCATCCTAGGAAGTTGATTTTTTCTGCAAGCTGGGTCACTTTCATCAAACTTTCTCTCAAGCTGCAGCATGTTTTCACTAGTCAATACTCTCATATAGCATTGACCCTCTTGAGGATATGTTATAAGCTTGACTCTTAAGCAAGCCACACACATTACCAAACTGATTCCGTGTTTATGGACTTCTGCCCCTGAGAAAAATTAACGTCATCATCCAAAAAATGGAACACACAGATTTAATAATTGGTCGAGAATGTGATTATTCCGGGGACTTTGTAATGATGCATCAGTCCTACACCATTATCCGGGCCATGTGATGGGCAAGGTGATTTTGTTGGTTTTACTTTGTGACTGACCGGACAGTTTGCAGGATTTGTCTCTTATTTTCACTGGCAAAACCGTAATCTGTGGGAACTTCTTTTGTTGATGTCGTGTGGAACTTCTTTTCTGCTTATGCTAACATTTGTGCGGTAATCTTAAGGTGATTGTGGAGAAGGCGGAGCGAAGTGATATTCCCAACATCGACAAGAAAAAGTGAACCCTTTTTCATCGACTGCCATTATCATTTTCTTATCTGCACTTGTAGGAAGTCATAGCTGCAATACTTGACTTGTTTTGTACTGACTTCTTGTTGAAAACTTGCAGATATCTTGTCCCAGCCGACCTTACCGTGGGTCAGTTCGTCTATGTGATCAGGAAGAGAATTAAGCTGAGTGCCGAAAAGGCGATCTTCATATTTGTTGACAATGTCCTTCCACCCACAGGTACAGCACAATTGACTCATTTCACTTCACGCGGACATTCATTTTGTATTTGATTTCCCTCTTCGTTACTTTTTTAACTGAAATCAAATGCTTTGAGGAGTTGTTTGTTTTAAAAAGTCCATTGCAGTTTCAACTAACAATGTATGTACTCTCCACATCTCAGGAGCAATAATGTCTGCCATTTACGATGAGAAGAAAGATGAGGATGGGTTTCTCTATGTCACATACAGCGGAGAAAACACGTTCGGCGACAACTGATTATGGCGAAGCGCTGCCCGTTCCTTCATCTCTGCCTCATTGCCATTAGTTTCCTCGAGCTGAACTCTGGCTTGTATATAAATATCCATTGTGCTTATGTGGGTAACCCATTCTGTGTATATAATAAGCATTTGTCAAAACCTATGATGCTAATGAAAAACTTAAGTACATAATACGACGCAATCGCTCCAGTCCAGTTTATGTACTGCTGATGGGCTGGTTGGACACATCCCCGAGCCAAAGATTCTGCAAGAATGCTTGGGTAGTTTCACTGGTATTTGAAGTTGATTTTTATCCTCAATTTGGTTGCCCAGTGCTCGAATGTTTGCTGTGGTTTATCGAGTATTTAGTAAAAAATTCTGATGTACAAATCACTGTTTCAATCCACTTGTCTATACCCGAGAAAAAAATTAAGAAATGCGCAGCATCTGTCTACCGCTATTTGCGGTTATGTTTTCTTGTTTTTTGGTTGAAGGTGATGTTATGTAGTAGCTATGCAATTGCCTTGAAGGAACTCTCTTTAACACTTATAGTGTTGTGCATTTATATTCAAATTTCATAGTCATCCATAGGACCGTGAAACGGGTGTGTTGGGTCGGGTTGATAATTGTCCAACTCAAATTGGCTCATTTAACCCATATTTCCATTTTTTTATTATATAATACAATATTAGCGATCGGCTCAACCCAAATCCAATTCATACATGACCCAACTCGGGCTTTAATTCTTAGCATTTTTTTTTATTAATTTGTTGCCTTCTAAGAATGGGCAACTCTATGAATCAATTTGTCGAGTTGGTGAGAGAGCTCAGGTTTTTTGGGCGGCTCGAGAGCTAGGAGTTCGCGTGGCACATGAGCAACATGGAGGCATGTGGTCAATACCCGACCTGACCCGGACCCAACCTGTACTCGATCCGGTGCGGCCACATTAGTTTTCATTTTTATTTTTTTGGGTAATGGCCATGTCGATGGAAACAGAACAGCTCGTAGGTAGCTTTTTTGGGCCTAGAAATGGGCTTGAGGCAAACCGGGTCTTCAAATAATGACGTGCTCCTTCAAATAATGACGTCTTCAGCTTCAGGGTTCTCTCTCTCTCTCTCTCTCTCTCTCTCTCTCTCTGCATCGCGGTATAGAGAAGTGCATAGTCTACCAAAGAAGCGAAGGGAAATAGATTTAGAAGCACGGGTAAGGGGAGGATTAAGGTGGCATTATTCGAATCAGTTGGAGGCCTAATTGCTCAATTATGGAAGATGAGTCCTCGAACCCATTTCATCGCATGTCCAACTCGGCCGACACAGTCTCACCACCATCGGAGCCCCCACGATGCCGCCGTCGATCCACCGAACCTAGTCGCCACACACCCTCACTCTCTATCTCCTTCTCACGAAGTCGGTTTTAAGGTTGCGAGCCTAGATCCGACGTGGCCAGTCGCTATGGTTATGACCTCATGACCACTTGGAGCCCCTTTGTCTTTGTTGACCGAGGGCATGACGGAGATTGTCGGAACAATTGAGGCTCGCTTAAAGGCGGAAGAGGGGGGATTGACGGAGGGAACTCAAACACCCCCCCCGGGTGGAAAAAATAATAACAATCTGGTTAAACTTTAAGTTTTTTAACCCACTTTTATCTTTTAAATATTTAAGAAACCAACACATATATTCTAATAATATGAGTAAGAGTAGGTCCATAGCTCATTTTGACACCTCTAATTACGTGATCAAGAACGATCTGTCCATGAATTTTGACGACCAACTTTGATAGCAATGACTATTTAGAGCAGACCCCTTTCGACTCTTCAGAACTCAAATTCTACCCTTTTTTTCGATCCTTGTATCAGGACCAAACCAAACAATCCAATTTTCACTTCACATCCCGACCGAAATAAACCCAATCAACAGAACCAATCAAACACAATATTCGAACCGAGTCATTTTCAAAGGGAAAGAACTCGAAAGCAAGGTTTTTTGAACTCTCAACTCAACATCGTTTGAGCTAGTGCTATCATCAATTACTAGTTTTCCTTCTTTCTTCTTCTACGCTCATCGTCCCACGCGTTCAACCAACAATTCGATAAAGCCAAAAAGGGGAAATAAAGGAAAAAGTTCATTGGTCTCGAGTTCAAAAGGAGCGCGAGAAACACAAAACGGAACACTTGTCAGGAAGATCAGAATGAATCGACTCCTGCAATTCTGATCATTTTGCCATTAATGGGGTTCGACACAAGTTGCCACAAAAGCTTAGCAAAAAATATATGAGATCTCCCACCTTCTCCCCCACTCATTTCCAAGGGGAAGGAAAGCGACTTTTCATGCCAAAGGAAACGAGCGAAACTTTTGACTGAGGCAACAAAGGAATTCACCTGTCCCAGTTTACCCTCTCCTTCATAACATGTTTTTACTCCTGCGACAGACCTTTTCGTTTTATTTTATTCTCCTGCAAAAAAAAAAAAAAAAAAACATGCCCTGGTTTCAAAATAAACGGTTTCGGGTACGTAGGTTTCGGATCAAAAACCTGGAATTTATCCCGTTAGAATGGGGTCCTGGCTTTTGGAATTGAGAACCGAACCGGAACTGGCTGCTTCCTAATTTTAATACTACGATTATTTTGTTAGGAACAATTTTCAACATATCTACAGGTAGTACCTCCGCTCGAATGATCTACCTACCTCACATGAGCCGAGTTGAGAGTCCTTGCTCCGTATATTTGTCTCTCTCTTTTCAAATAGAGTAACAAAAAGAACATAAAAAAACGGTTCAGTTTACGTATAAGTTCGGGAATTGAACCGATCAAGACCCGCTGCCCAATTCTTTTCCCAAGAGCCTATTCGGCCCCTATGTGAGCCGGTCTAGAACCGATCGAGCATGGCCAGTTCGGTTTCGAAACCGAACCGACCCGATTATTCACCCTATCGAAATCCCTCCCTCTTTGGAATCGAAAATTTTGAAAAATTCAAATTGCTTGTATCAAGGGGACTGAGGAAAAGAATTTAATAATGGGTGTTCTCCATTCATTCTCCTTCTCCCTTAGACCTCCCAAACATAGCATAGGCTCTTTGACCCTGAAGCTTCCTATCCAATGTCAAACAAGCCTATTGCCGTCTTCCTTTAATCAGTACGAATGGACCGCTCCATCACTTTCTTAGAAAATGTCGGATTTGACTGGAATTGCATTTACTGATTATAGCTTCTTATGTTTTTCAAAAAAAAAGAAAAAAATGTTGCGCAAAATGGAGCGGACCAGACATACACTTCAATTACTTTTTATGTCCGTCTTAAATGACCACGAGATCTCTGAACGCTAGAGATCTCCAGGAATCGCTATCATTGCACAGATGGTGGTAAGTCCCTCATTTGCATATGGTTGTGTTCAAATTGTCAACCGACTCTACGAACATAGGACAAGGACGTGCGATCTGATTTTACTACGTCGTTGCTTGAATTGTCTTGCACGACAAAGGCTTAGGAATCACATCGATTAATTCAATCTTAAATGTCGTCTTTTTTTGCCACGTTTTAACACTCTTAGCTTTCTCTCCGGATCAAGATATATCATTGCGAGCTATGTAAGTGAACGGAGCTAATGGAACATGCGACATGATTTTATTACCTGTGAATTGTCCCCATAGCCGGGGGGACAAAACTTTTCCTTAACACCCCAAACCGTGGTCCGATCAAAATGATAGTAACTTTATACGTTGAAAAAGGTGCTTATCTCGATAAAGGAATTTGCACGCACTAATTTACTACGCGACATATCAAAATATTGACTATCATATTGAGATGGTAACCGTCATTAGATGGTATGTCGTCTTTTTCGAGATGGTAACTATCGCTAGATAGTCATCTTTTTATCAAAATAATGCTCCGTTCAAATCATGTCGTCTTTTTAGTACATGCTCCGTCGAGACCACAAGAACCACCAGGAGATTAACCTCAAACCAGCTTTTAATTATTGAACGTGTAGTTCATAATTCTATAACGGACAATGTTTTCTTCCGATCACCCTTTTGATTTTACGGGCTACAAATTAAAGGGAATATCACCAACTTGCAAAAATTACCTAATATAAACACAGGCGATGTTCACATTTGAAATCACCAAGTAAAAAGGGGGATAAAATACTTATCTCCGAGAGACCATAGGAACCACCGGGATCCTAGACGAACCTCGAACGGGCTTTCAATTCTAAAAAACGCGGCTCATTATTCTACAACAGACCGTGTTTTCCTCCAATCGCACCTTTTGATTAAACGGGCTATAAATTGAAGTGGAGATCACGAACTTTCGAAATTACCTAAATATAAACACAGGCGACGTTCGCGATCGAAGCCACCGAGTAAAACGGGGGAGGAAATACTCGTCTCCAAGAGACCATAGGAAGCACCATGATCCTAGACGAACTTCGAACCAGCATTTCAATCAACGACAACGTAGCTCGTCATTTTGTAACGGGTCACACTTTTCTCCGACCACCCTTTTGATTAAACGGGGCTACGGATCGAAGTGGAGATACCTAAATACTAAATACAAACGCAGGCGATGTCCAATGGTCATATCCACCGGGTAAAACGGGGGATCGGAAGCAAGTTTTGTTGGACCATGAGGGTTCCGAACGATGATGGATCATCACAATAGGCCGCCTGTAAAATGACCTTTTCTTAACTTTGGCCAACACATACACATGGTGGACGTGTAGTCACAGCACAGGAGCAATAAATGACGCATTGACCCGTGGAGTGAAAGTTTCAACATCAGCAGCAACAGCTGCGCCAAAGAGAGGGAGAGACGCACACACAGCGCCAGCCCTCTTAAGCTAGAATTGGCAAAATTTGGACATGATTTCGACGGGGCATGCACTAAAAGGACAGGATCTGGATATAGAGATAGAGATAGAGATAGAGAGAGTGGGAGGAGGGGGAGGTAATGTCTGTCGACGCCAACACAGGAGAGAGAGGAGAGCAAATCCCCGATCCGACGGAGGGGGTTGGGGGGCAGCGCAGGGGGAGGGGCTGCTGCGGCCAGCGGACGGCTGCGATGCTCGTGCGTACGGTGGCGTGGGACGTCCCATTTGTCGGCGTCTGGGGAATCCCCAGGAAGGCTAGCACGACAGTAAATGCTTTTTTCTCTTTTTTTTCCCCCCCACACCTCCCCTTCCCCTCCTCTGCAACCACTCGTTTGTCTTTCTTCGTGTACCACCGCACACCCCCCTGTGTTTGCCCCACCCTGCTGTTGTCTTTTGCTCTTCTCTTCCGTATTTTCCCCTCTTTTTATTTCCATCTTCCTTGTCTCTTGCTTTTGTTTTTTTCTTCGAGTTTTTATTTAGGGTTAACGCCACGAAAAATCGATATACTTATGATAAATTTACCTCAAACTATTTTTTTACCACAAAAAATCACGAACCGGTACGCTTGTGACAAATTTTCCCTCCATTACTTTACGTTAAATTGGATTAATACCACGAAAAACTGCAAATCGGATCCCAAACTTGTATACCCGTCAACCGTACTCGGTAATTTAATGGTAAAATTTAACAGAAATTAACGGAGGATAAATTTATCACAGGTGTATTGATTTTGGATTTTTGGTATTCGAAAAATTAGTTCGGGATAAAATTGTCACAAGATTACCAGTTTGAAGTTTCTTGTGGTATTAACCCTTTTATTTATTCAACATCTTGAGCGGCTCCTTTTGGATTCTCAGTATTTAGTTAAGAGGTAAGCTCACCGAAAGAAAAGAGCCAAATCTCCTAGAGGGGCATCCGTGGCCTATCTTGATCCTTTCGAGCGGGCTCCACGAATATATTCTTTATTTTAACGTGCCGATGCCCGCAAAACCTCATCCCCAAATCCCCTCCAAATTTTTTTCTTTTTGGATAGAGGGAATACCCCCTATTCTATTTACAATCTCAAAGTTTTGGATTATAACCTTTTAAGAACTTGCTAAGGTCCGATTTCCTCTTTTTTGTCCGTTGTTTTTGTTTTTCTAGATTTATCTATTCAATAACTATCATCTCGATTGGAAGTTGATATGAATTCTAAATTGGTTTGATCGGTTCGATTGTATATCCAATGTGAATATTGTATTAGACTACTCCTTATAACGAATCGTTCATTTCGATTCTTTTTCTTTTAACGTGCAACGAGAAAAATCGTAATGTTAGAAGGATAAATCTAATGTTCGCGAAACATTTCACTAAATACAAGTAAAGTATGGGCAAAGGTCAAGATGAGCGACCCGGCTCCAAATTTTGTGCCGATGAGGTCAAATCTATATTCGAGAAATTAAGACCACCTTCACAACGGTGGCAACTCTCAAGTTCTTATCATCAACGAAGATACAGAGAGGGGCGGTAACCAAAGTGACCACCATCATCCTAGTGGGCTCTCTCTAGAGCTCGTCCAACAAGATATAAATTACTTTTTCGATAACTATCATATCCTATCGTATCTTAGATTTTCTAAACACTTCATGCGTTAGAAATAGAATATGTCCATATCCGCTCATCTATTGTGTTTTGCCCCAAAAAAAAAAAAAGAAAAAAGAAGAAGATCGAACGGGACAAACACAAGGAATTTTTTTTATATAAAATCTTCTCTTATTCTATCCAATTCCACTTCTCGGCCACCAAATGAAAACGAAAGGGTAGCCAAATGCTAACATTCGTGTACATTTTCAAATGCATACGTGCTCATGTAAGTCATCAGCGCAAATTCAAAAAGGTAATGAAAGCATCGTTCAGTTCATCATTGCCCTTGGGGGATTCGTGTTCTTTCCTTTTGGGCTAACACTATTTGGCCAAATCAAGGAGTATTGACTAATCGCAGAAGCGAGAATTCTACAAATACCCTTCTTTTAGGGTTGTGGGGAAACATTGCACGTACTTATTCTGATCAAGGTGCCATGCGGAAATTGTTTGATAACTCGACCTAAAGTTTAAGCTATAAAATGGAAAGAAGATGCATGCGTGAATATAAGATTGTGATACATCTTGCAATCGAGCGATATGTGATGATATATTCCATTTCATGCGCATATCGTAAATGAAAACTGTATTTACAGGGTACATAAAGCTGAAGGATGGTGAATAAACTAAATAAAGAGTTCACGCAAAACAAAATAGATGAAAGTAGCTAAGTGAAACTTGACTTCGATATTACGTGCGTGTTGAATTATATGTGCTTAAAACTCAAAAGCTTACACTATAAAATAGCGGAACTGAGATAAATTTCATAAGCACGTGAAGTGGTAAGTTACTACTCGATAAAAGAGAAAAGATATGATTAAGTCAAACAAAATAATTTTTACAAATGAGTACTCCACTCCACTTGTTAAATGACAAAATAAAATATTGAATATATCGTTTGATGCATTATTTTTCGTTGTGTTATGTCTGATCGATGATTTGGAAGTCAGAGCAAATCTCACTAAGTACCTTGGATAAATGCTGATAAGAACCTAAATAACCAAAAACGATTTTGTTAAACACTCCAGTAAAGAAAGCTTATCGTGTATAATTAGCGCATTGAAAATGAAAAATATTTCTTTATTAAGCACGGTTAAGTGCGCTGGGCCTCTGGTTGAAATATGTTTCTAAGCAAACATACCATTACTAGTAACTAGCTGCAATTAATGAAACCCTGTTGAAAAACACTGCAGGCGAGGGCACGGACTTCTGTTATCTGACAAACACGTTAAGCCAGGGCCAATGAACAAAAACTGGAGAGAGCAGCCAGAAAAAACAGCAGTGTAGTTTCCACTTGAATTCTTCGCCAATGGGGTTGCAATGCGCAGTTGCAGTTGCAGTTGCAGGCATTCGACGACTGGGTTGGAGCTTTTGCACACATCGTCCTCACGCATGTAATTATCAACTTAACATGCATGAACATTCAATAAGATGAATAATTGAATTACGATGAAATGTATTGATTCGTGTCAATATATCGTTCAAGCGTATCGTGCTGTGTCGTTTCTCAACCTTTCTTCCGTAATTCGAGTTTTTGCTTCGTATTGTGTTCGTGTCTCGCTTGTTCGTATCATGCAAAAATGTCGTGCTCAAGCCGTCGATCCTAGCTATTTTCAATTAAGGTTGATAATTTTCGGCATGACGACCGAGTCATAGCTTTTTTGGGCAAAAAAAGAAGCATAATTCACTTGAACTTAGACATCATACAAACCCAACCGACCCAATTCCAATGGAAGATCAAACAACTTTCCTTGGAATGTGATTTGATTTACTACAAAATAACACAAGATTCAAATGGTCATACACATGCAAAATATGAGTCTACATCCAACAAAGATTATGTGCAAAAACAATAACTCGGCCAAAGAAAGCAAAAGATGGAATTTTTATGGCGCAATAGGGCAGTAAGACCGTGCACTCCACCATAAAAATTGCGAGATAATAAGAGAAAATCAACAACAAAATAATTAAGAGCACACTAAGATTTTTATGTGATTCAATCGGGGTGTTTGTCCACTGAAAAAGCAAATGCAAGAGTTCCACTTCAAACAAGAGAAATTTACACACTATAATTGATCAATCTCCCAGGTATTTTGAACTCAATAGTCTTAACCTAGTTATTCAGCACAATCCGTCACAATATTCTAATCAAGAAAATTCACAAAGAGAAACCACGGCACCCTCCTAAGACAAGTATCGTGTAATAACAAGAAATAGATCAAAACAGGGTTTAAAATGCGAATTTTATATTGATGAATGGGCTCCTGTCATGTGTCATGCATTTCTAGGTATGCAAGCTGGGCTCAAACCTCTTGGCTTGGACACCCAATCCTATTTTTCCATTAGCACGGGTGCCACGGAAGATCGTCTTCGGATTTATCTTCACTTCGATCTTTAACTCAAGTCACTCGTCTAAAACACTAATTCGACATTTTTCTATCTAATTAACAAGGCCCGTTCGTTTCAACGAAAGTAAAAGCCAAAAGAACTTGATATATTACTCGAATTTGAGAAAATCGCACGCGAATTTAAGTGTCGATGTTCATACACTGTAGTAATAGTTATGAAAGTTTCAAATACAAAAAGAAGGGTCAAGGTGCATTTAGATCAAGCAAATCTCCCCTCACACATCAACCCATTAATGTGGTCTTTCTTTTACATTCCAAATTCTTCTTTCTTTGTTTTTTCCTCAGTATTACAACCGTTGTCCACCGAGAACTGAGAAAGGACACTGACCCCCTTGGTCTTGTCATTTACCACTCACTCACCACCACCACCACCAACACCAACACCACCACCACCACGCCAAGCCCCAACCAGCGCGAGAGAGAGAGAGAGAAAGACAGAGAGAGAGTGGCCAACCATACGCAGAGAACCAGATGGTTAGGGTTTTTGGGACCTGAGCTGTGCTCTCTCTCTCTCTCTCTCTCTCTCTCTCTCTCATTGTAAACAGCAACCAAAAAGAAAAGAAAAAGAAAAGTTGTCTTTTGATTACTCTCTCTCTCAGTCTCTCTCATGTCTCTGGCCGTTTGATATATAATACTATTTGTTTGAGTTAAGATGTAATGTAATGTAATCTAATTGATATGGGGCGTAGAGCTTTGAGCACTTGCTATAAATTCAGAATAGCCCCTTCCCCCCTCCCTTGCTCCTCCTCCTCCTCCTATAAAATAGTGATAATCCTACCAATACGTGACACCACCTCTCTCTCTCTCTCTCTCTCTCCTCTGCGTTTCATTGGTAACAGTAGTACTACTATCTGTCGCAGGCGCCGTTCTCCTTTCTTGCACTCCTCCCTGTGAATATTATCTCCCTCTCTCTCTCTCTCTCTCTAACATCATCTCTTCCATTAACATCCCCTCTGTCTCGCTCAACTCTGTCCTCGCTCTAACGATCATAATTCTCGCAATCCTTCTTACCTTTCGAGCGAGAGCCGAAGATGGTGAGCCCCCGGTTGAATTTCTTGAATTTCTGCGAGCTCTCTCTATCGGGCAACGCTCGAATTCTTGATTTTTTTTCTTATGCCTGCTTGTTTTGTTGTGTTTTCTTTTTGTTCTTCGAACAGTTTGTGGGTCAAGCGCACCAGCAGCAGCTTCCGAGGTGGCTGCAGGCGCTGCTGACGGAGAAGTTCTTCAACGCCTGCATAATTCACGAGGAGGTCCGCAAGAACGAGAAGAACATCTTCTGCTTGGACTGCAGCACCAGCTTGTGCCCTCACTGCTTCTCTTTCCATCGCTCCCACCGCCTCTTGCAGGTTGGTCCTCTCTCTCTCTCTCTCTCTCTCTCTCTCACTCTCGTTTCTGGGTCTGATTAGAGAAGGTGTGAAACGGTTTGATTGATTCTCAGATAAGGAGGTACGTGTACCACGATGTCATACGGCTGGACGATGCTGCGAAGCTGATCGACTGTGCTTATGTCCAAGTGAGTGCAAAGAGAGCAAGAATAATTCGAATTCTTTGATCTTTCACCACCCCACCCTCTCTCTCTGAATTGTGGGCTTTGCCTCTATTCTGTCCTGGCGATGTTTCATGGCTCGCTGGAGTGTATAATCTCTCCTGTTGGATTCTTAGTACTCTATAAGAGTAAATTGTTTCTTGGTCTCACGGGACATCAGAGATGGCCTCTTCTATTTCAAATGGATAGTTAGATTAAATTATACTGACAAGGGAAGCACAAGGACATGGGTCTGTGTGTTTTCTTTTTATAAAAAAGAACACCATGTTTCATTTTCAGGGAGTCCTTTAAGGTTTCTTTTCTACTTTATTTTTTTGGGGTTTCTTGATTTTGCAGGCATACATAACAAACAGTGCAAAAGTGGTATTTTTGAACCAGAGGCCACAGGCGAAGCAGTGCAGAGGCTCCGGTAACACCTGCAGCACTTGCGAAAGGAGCCTCCAAGACCCTTTTCTCTTCTGTTCTCTTTATTGCAAGGTACTTCAAAAAAAAAATAACTAAAAATAAAAGCTGATAGTGATAACTATGGAGTTAATGAAGCTGATGAAATCTCCATTAAAGCTCTGCTTCTGTTTATTAATTACCCCAATAGCGACTTCTTGGTTCCTTGCTCTTCTCTAGGGTTTCTAGTCTCTCTTTTTACTCTTTATCATTTTTCTTGTTTGCATTAGCACTTCAATTCAATCGGGTTCTCAGGTTTCCCTATAACTCTCCAAATTATTGGAATTTTGGCGACCTAAGTTGAGTAAATTCATCTGGGTTTTGTGAAGAATCTAATTATCCTCCTTTTTTTGTTCTCTGGTCTCTCTCTAGTTAACTTCTTTCTTTTTTTTGGCGTGCAGATTGACTACCTCATTAGGACAGAAGGTGGGCTCTCCAAGTATCTCCTGGAGTGCAACTTCTTGCCCTTGCCTGAACCGGGCCTGGACGACGGCCTCATGACCCCCGACTCGGTCCTCGAGCCGGCCGGCTCGAACCGGACCAACTCCAGCGGATCCGGAGGGTCTGGCGGGGTCGGGTGCAGGGCCCTCGCCTGCACCGGCGCCACCGACTTCGTCGTGAGGAAGAAGCGGACCAGCGTGCTGGTTTGCAACAGCCCGTGCAGGCCGGTCGAACCGGCTTCGGCGAGCCTGATGAACCGGAGGAAGAAGACTCCTCATAGGGCTCCTCTATATTGAAAACATTGGGGTTATGGTCGAAGGGATGACATATTTGGCAGATTGACCTTCATTACTTCTTAGGTGAAAAGGAATGGAAATTTTCAGGGAATTAGTGGCAGAACATCTCCCAATTTTGTTGAGAGAGTGCTCTCTCTTTCTGGTCTAGGAGGTGATTTCTGTCTAACTTGTATAAGTTCTTCAATGGCTTTTTCTTTTCTATTTTCTTTTTAATTTCATGTAGAGAGGTTACAGCAAGTGATAGTTTAGTGACAGAACTTGGTCATTGCCTTTTTTTATCCCATTTCAGGGTTAATTAGAAGATATGTATATCTGACTACTTAGTGATACTCCTCATTGTGCTTATCTGACTATTCTTAAGGAATCTTGTTTCTCTTTTGTTCCGCTTGATGAATTTGCAATGCTGTAAAATATTAATTTTCTTAGGATTTTCCTTGCCTCACGAATTTCTTCAGCATGTTTGTCAGAGTCCTGATCTCATTATCAGCTTCGAAGGATTTCTGCTAGCCATGGTACTGGTAGGTTGAATGGCTTTTGGGATTATTGTGATTGAATTGTACAGGAATATGTTGAAGAGAGAATCAGATGTCAACTAGAAATTAGGACATGAATTTATCTTTCAATTAATGGGAATGTTGGAAAAATAAATGAAAAGTAAATTTAATCTACACTTTCTTTTGCTTTGTAATTTGAAATTTTAGTACGTTTCTGGTTGATAGAGAGGACTTAGAGAAATTGTGCGACAGGAAAATGAATGATGCTTGTATCACTTATAAATATGAATAAATAAAAATTATTTTTAAAATTTATGAAAATATTTATACATAAATTGTTGTTGTTGGGGGTATGAAAATATTTTTCATTGATTAATTTATTTTAAGTAATATAAGAGATCATTTTTAAAAAATTATTTTTAAATTATTCATTTTTGTGAAATAAACGAAATCTTATTGATAAATTAGTTTATCTAGATTTGAGAAAAAGTGAGGGCTAATAATCAAAAAAAGAATGGAAGAAGTTTATTTCCATTCCAACTCTTCCAACTTTGAAACAAAAGTAAAAATATGGGTCCAAGAAAAATACTCCCTTATGCATGCATTTATTTCTCATCTAAAATAAATCTCATATGTAATGGCCCTTCATAAGGGTTAATCTCGGGCGGTGTCTCTAATAGAAGAGTTGTGGTTCTATCAAGCCAACACGTACCTAAACAAAATCCTTTTAGGAATGTTTTTATTTATTACCAATTCACCAAACTTTTCAGGTCTTGTCAAAGAATGTATGATATTGTACCCAAAGATCACATGAAAGGGAAAGATTGCTAACCCATGCGATGCAATTCAAAAGAGCAAGAAACAGTTCAGCCTCGTTTTTCTTGGGATTTTCATGGGAAGGGATGAGATTGGGAAAAGGGGAAGGCGGAGGGTTGGGGCGAGTTAAGTGCTGTACAGGTTCGTTGACTAGTGGTAGGAGTGAGTGAACAGGAACCCTAGGAGGGAGAAACAGCGAGGAAGATGACAACGTTGTGTCCCACAAATCTTGATGGAAATCCTGGGATTTCGCAAGCCCCAACACCAGCCAAACCACACACACACGGACACGCCAGGGCTCTTCGTTTGTCTTTGCTTTTCTTTTCTAGTTCCCAAGGACAGAGATTGTTGTTGACAAACTAAACTAGAGAGGGGGGGCAACAGCAACGGTTCTCTTTTATTTCTTTTTGTTCGTTTGTTATTTGCCTCCTCTTCCCAATTTCTCTCCATTTGAAGAGAGAGCAAGACCCACTACTTAGTCGGTAATACAGTAGAGAATTCCAATCATAGACAAGGACAATAGCAAAAAAGAAAAAAATCATAGATAAGGAAACTAATCTCCTTGAAGATCTTATTAACGTGTGACTCCGTCGTGCTTGTTGTAGTTATTGAGCAACAGTTAATGAAATTTTTACGGTTTTCATAGCATTGTCTTTCTTGTGTTAATGTGTTCAAACTATGTAAGGTATGATAGCTCCTTTTTTAATAGTGTGTTTTGTTAAGGAGTACTCTTGGGGCACTTGTTAGATATGCTCGATGAGAAAATATTTGAGCAGTGAAATGTTAATTGCACGATACCATGAAGACAATTAGTGCATTGAAAATTATAATAATTTTTATTTGGTTAATTAACAAGTGGTCTAAGGCATTTTTTAGTAAACTCCCTTACTAACTGAAGTGATTAAAAAGAGTAAGCATATTCATTCAAGTTCTAAACACTCACTAATACTCTCCCTCAACATACGCATTAGCGTATTGTCAACGGGTAATCCTCGAGGCACTTAATAAGAGTGCTTAATTGCATACATTTTGGTTTTCAAATGTAATTACACAAAACCCAAGAATCTACATACATTGTAGCAAAATAGACTTCTAGATATTAAATACACTAAATTTAACGGAATGAATTTTTTCTTTTTCAAACAAAATTTTAAGAGCTTCGCCAAGAAAGTGAAAATTAAAAGAAAATATTTTGAAATCTCAATGTGCATACAGATATTTAATTATGTTATTATTTTCATACATGCAATAGAATTGATTATGTACTTATGAAGTAGAGAGAAATATATGAAGTGTCCAACTATATCATGTTCTAGATATACACGATAACTGTAACATCCTCAATTTCAGTCTATGGGAAATGGCTATGGTTTGAGTTTGGTGGTTTTCCAATCGGAGCCAATTTTACTCTTGTTCTGGAAAATCCAGATTCGGATCCTCTGTACCCTTTCGTTTTGTTATTTTTGTGGAAACTTTTGTGATCCGAATTTCCAAACACTTCCTTCTTCAAAGTTTCTCCAGACATATTGAGGTTTTACATACTTTAATTTCAGAATTTTTGGACTTGATATGAGTAGTACGATATCCTAATTTCTGACCGTGTAAAATTGCCCAGAATGGGTATTTCTGTGATGTTCACACTTTCTCGATTTTTTACAAACTTTTCTAGGCCGAATTTGAACAAACTTCCTTCACAAAAGTTGTTGAGAACTTCTTTCTATAGAACATATATAAATTTGGGAATTTTTCGAGATAATTTGGATTCTGAAAAGAGCTTACTTTGAGAAGCAACGATTCTGTTCAAGCGAACTGTTTTTAATCTGTCTTTGAGCTATTAAAATTTGTGTTTAAAGAAAGATTCAGATTTCGTGTTCATCATGGAAAATGTCTGTTAAGGTATTTTTTATAACATATCCAAATTTGAGAATTTTTAAAGTCCATTTACTATGTTTTCAAGTCCGATTTCGTGAACAGTGCAAAACTGCCGGTTTCGTCAGATTTCACATATTCGTCATTTTCTATATGAGAACGTTGGAATCTCAACATGATGTCTTTTGGTGATTTAATGTGCTCGTCCTGAGCTTTCAAATGAGCTATGTTAAGCTTTGATTGGAGGTCACACGAAGGGGGAAACCGAGAGGGAACCGAGAGACAAGAAAGAGGGTTCTAGAAAGCAAAACTTGGTGAGCAAGTTGGTCAAATTTTGGTGAACAAGTTGATCAAAACTTGGTGAGCAAGTGGTCAAAACTTGGGGACCAAGTTGGCTTGCCTATAAAAGGTTTAGTTTCCCCCCTTAGTTACCACACACACTTCCTCTTCCTCTCTCATCTCTCATTCTTACGCCTTTCTCTCATCTCTCACCCTCACGCCAAACACTTCTTTCTCTCTCTCGCCATTTGCCGCCGCCGACAGCTGTAGACGTTTTCTTATGATTATAGGTGATTATAGGTGTAAGGACCCGGGGTCTACACTGTGTAATATTGTCCGCTTTGAGCCCACTGACCCTCACGGCTTTAAAACGCGTTGTCTTGGGCAGGCCTCTGGCCCTTCCTCCCCCAAGCCCAATATTGTCCTCTTTGGGGCGCAAGCCCATAGGCCAGACCCACCCCTCAAGGCTTTGTTCTCAAGACAACGGAAGCTTGTGTGAAACGCGTTACGGTAGTAGAGAACCTAAGCCTTATAAACTAGCCCATGACTCCCTAAGCGATGTGGGACAAGAGACATGCCCCCTTGCCATCCTAGAAGCACGCCAGAGCCGCTCCTTGTCCGGGCCCTACGGCCCCGGCGACCACTCCCGCCCCTCGGCGGACCGGGTCGTTACAATAGGTGAGTGAATTCCCTAACACTTGGATAGGGCGGTGTGTTACGTGGTTGGAAAGCGGCATGTAAGTGGATTCTCTAATCTCAGGATAGGAAGTTGTGATGCGTTGTTGGCTTGAGTTCTCACCCGAGCTTTTGTTGAGACTTACGTGTTGTTTGTCTCAATGTTGCACGCATCGCTTGTTACCATGCTTGATGTTCTCATCCATGCTTGTTGAGGTATAAGAGGATAGGACGTGGTGTTACAAGTTTGGCTCGAGTAGTGACCGTGTCTGTGATGCTCGATGTTTGCATGAGTGCTTATTGTTTTGCTTCATAATCGTAAGTCAAGGCACGTACGAGTCACGAAACGGGGTGTCATATGGTCTCGTTCTCATGTTGTGGCGTCACGGGACGAGTTCGGCTTGGTGCGGGTTTACATTGAGGTGTGTAGATCCGGGCTAAGTTCGGCTCTAAGCCGGCGCTCGGCATGGCGGACCGAACCACGTGCCCTTGACCGCGACCCGCATGATCGGCGAATGTTCTAGAGATCATGATTACACAAGCACGGCACGCCTTTGGGCTTGATTGCATGGACTAATGAAATCAAGATAATAAATCGGCTTGTGTGACCCATGATGTGTGATCACTAAATAAAAGAAGCAGATCGTTGTCACATAGTATTGGCGGTGATGCCTTGGTAAACTAGCGTTGGGATGCCCTAGTTGAGCTAGTGTAACGATCCGGTCCGACGAGGGCGGGGAGTGGTCGCCGGGGTCCGAGGACCTGGACAAGGAGCGGCTTCCGGCAGGCTTCTAGGATGGCAAGGGATTGCATTGCTCTTGTCCCACATTGCTTAGGGAGTGAGATCTTGGTGAGGTTATAAGGCTTGGCCCCTAACTCTTGTGTAACGCGTTTTAAAACCGTGAGGACTTAGTGTCCAAAGCGGACAATATTACACAAGGAGTGGCGCAGCGGAAGCGTGGTGGGGCCGAGGTCCTTACAGCTAGGATGCCTTGATTGAGCTCGGATGCCTTAGGTGAACTAGCCTCGAGATGCCTCGGTTGAGCCGGGATGTTTTGGTTGAGCCAGGATGTCTAGCATGAAGCTGGATGCCTCGGTTGAGCCGGGATGCCCTGGTTGAGCCAGGATGACGATACATAAATCTTATATGTGTGCCAGTATGTGAGAAATGAATCCTATATATGTGCTTGTATGTGTGGTTATTGATAAGCCGAATTTATGTGACCGGATAAATGTGAGTTTCCATGT